TCTCTCTCTCTCTCTCTCTCTCTCTCTCTCTCTCCAGGAGCTGGTGGTGTAAAGCAAGGGCTGAGCTGACACTCGTCGCGCAGTCGGCCACCGGACACAACACTACCCGAAGTGAGTGTTGGTTAACAGACATGTGTTTATGCAATCATTTATTGATTTGTCTTTCAATACAGAAATTGAACACAAATTCAATCTAAAAGCAAATGATTGGCGTTTTAAAAACGTCATCGCATATCGAGTACTCATTATAAGTATAACTACTTTCAAACACAATTATTTCATTAAATTGTTTATAATTTGTTTGTTTTCGTTGATTACCCGATGATTAGGATGTATTGAATCGGGAAATGGGTTTCATTATAAACAATAGGATTATAGTGGAGGCGATGATCACCGCCGAATCGTGGATCAAATGAGTTACCCTTCCATAGAAGGCCATTATAAATACAATTTTCTTTTTTACATAGAATAATGTTTTATTGTATTAGAGTTATTGTAATTAAATTTAAATTGGGTTCTAATTCTTGCACCGATTCCTATGATTGCAATCAATTGTCTCTTTGAACACAACGACAAAAATGGACACAAATTATAGCCAAACATTCAATTGAAACCACATTTGACTCTAAGAAGCGTTCACTTGAATAACGCGTTGAAAGTGAAAGATATTCAACAAAAAGGTTGGGAATCAGTGGTAAAGATCACAGAAAACACGACAAGTGGTCACACATTAGGCGCCGGACTTATTGTCGACGACAAGGGATACGTATTGACCAGCGCTCAGGTGGTGTGCGATCTGACACACGTTGGCGTGACTTTTGCCAAACCGTACATTAGATCCCAATTGTTGTCCAGAGATATGACCGCCGATGAGATACAAACCATTTACGGACGGGTCGTATACGTGGATTCGGGCGTCGAGTTGGCACTCATCAGGCTATTTACGGTCAAACCGGGAGTCTTAAGACCACTACCGCTGACCGACACCAACACTGACCCCAAATGTGGTCAAACAGTGGTTGCGTTCGGCTGTTCAACACTCGACCAAAGTTTCATCACTGGAGTGATAGCATCGGTAGATCGGGTCGAGAGCCACACATTAGATATGCAACTTATTTTCCCTGTTAGAGGGATTCCCCGGGGATTCTCTGTTCCCTGTACAGGGAAAATACAGGGCAGGGAAATGAGAATCAATGAGCAGGGCAGGGACAGGGAATCCCTGTAACAAAATTTCCCTGTAAATTCCCTGTAATTCCAAAAGTGAGTGATAAATAAGTCAATAGTTGTGAATGAATTTTGTGTTATAAAAAGATTGTAATAAAATTATATTACTATAATATATATGTATTTTAAGTCTATTTATTGAAATAATGAAATATAATGAATAAATACAAGTTTTTATAAGAAATATTCATTAAAAAAATTTACAGGGAAATTACAGGGAATCCCCGGGGTTCCCTGTTAGCCTCTACAGGGCAGAGCAGGGATTCCCTCTAAGCAAAAATTACAGGGAACAGGGCAGAGCAATGAAAATTGGAAAAAGTTGCATGTCTACCACACATCGCAGAGAAGTCCGTAGCGGCGACCGCACCACCCCTTCAGCCGCACTGCCCCGGCTGTCGGCGCCCTTTCAAGATTGTGGTCAGAAATGACGCTTTCATTGCACGCATGAATTGCGTACGACTGGCCAGAGGTATACCATTACACGCGGTCCCGAGTTTTGGCCACTTTTTAATCACACATTTCGCACATGTTTTTAGGGGTAATCGTTGGACGCAATCGATATCTGAATAATTTGATTAACGAACAGATAATCAAATGCCGGTTTGAGTCGCTCGGCTGTGGCCACACGTGCGCAGTCAGCCGTATGGTTGAACCCGAGAGGGCCTGCGATCGGAACAAGTGTTCAAAATGTGAAGAAGACATGTCGGGAGAGAGCGATCCGCACGACTGCGTCGAGACATTGATGAAAGCGTTGGCCAAAGCGCGGGCCGAGAATGCGGTCAAACCGCGTGTCGGCCGAAAGTGGCGCATAACTACTCTCCTGCCATGGATTAGGTTCGGGGAGTTTGAAACACAATACCAGTCGGTGGACACAATTGGGAGAAACACTGGACTCAAAATCACGCGAGTCGGCCGCAATGTCGACAGCCATCCAATTGTGTTTATTAGATGGCATGAATTGTCGAGTTTAGTCATTTCAGTCGACGACAATAGCGTCGCCACGATATGCATGTGTCCGACAGATACGGCCGCCAAACGGATCAACAATCAGTTGAGTCTCACATCTGAGGCCGGAATTGACAACAAATCGCTAGGTTTGCCAATAATTTTATTTATTATACATTTAATTATACGAATTATGACTATTTATATAAAAATTGTTACTAATTACACTTAAATAGGGGTCTATTTGTGGCACCGATTTTTATGATTGCATTCAATCGTCTCTTTGAACACAACGACAAAAATGAACACAAAATTTGGCCAAACTTTGAATTGAAACCACATTTGACTCTAAGAAGCGTTCACTTGAATAACGCGTTGAAAGTGAAAGATATTCAACAAAAAGGTTGGGAATCAGTGGTAAAGATCACAGAAAACACGACAAGTGGTCACACATTAGGCGCCGGACTGATAATCGACGACAAGGGATACGTATTGACCAGCGCTCAGGTGGTGTGCGATCTGACACACGTTGGCGTGACTTTTGCCAAACCGTACGTTAGATCCCAATTGTTGTCCAGAGATATGACCGCCGATGAGATACAAACCATTTACGGGCGGGTCGTATACGTGGATCCGGGCGTCGAGTTGGCACTCATTAGGCTATTTACGGTCAAACCGGGAGTCTTAAGACCACTACCGCTGACCGACACCAACACTGACCCCAAATGTGGCCAAACAGTGGTTGCGTTCGGCTGTTCAACACTCGACCAAAGTTTCATCACTGGAGTGATAGCATCGGTAGATCGGGTCGAGAGCCACACATCGCAGGGAAGTCACGCCTACTTCCAAGTGATGCTAAATGCGGACCACAAACACATCCAACACTCGGCGACCATTAGTGACGGCTATTCCGGTGGACCCGTTGTCGACACCAGCGGTCGACTGATTGGCATTTCGCTCAACACTTCCATCAGAAGTGATGGCATTTTCTTTGCCGCTTTCGCCGCAGATATCATTGGTTTGTCATTAAATTATTGCAATTAATTGATTAGTATTTAAATTATTGTTTAATTTTGGATTAGCTTTCGTGAAGAGGGGTTTAGAGTATGAGACCAGAGATCGTGATATGAAGTACTCGTTTGCAAACCGGAAATCACTGGGAGTTGTGTTGTATAAGGATATGAACGCCAGTAATAAAGTGTTCAAAGTTTGCAAATTTACACCTTTTAATGCATTCAATAATTTAGAGTACGTTTAAGTATAGCATATATTCTGTATTCACTTTAAAATCAAATTAATTTTTCATTAATTTTGTTGTTTTTCTATTGTTTTCAATTGAAATCTTAAGAAATGGACTTCAAATCAATGATTACATAATGAAAATCAATGGCAAACCGTTTCACAGACTCTACCAATTGACTGATGCTATCGATGCCCACAAACCCAATGAGAAGTTAATACTAACTGTTTATAGGAATAAACAATACAAAGACATTGATATCACTCCACAACTGATCCACTGTTATGTCGCCTAATGTTATAGCTTTTCCAACAATACTTTTTTAAGCAAACATTTACGAGTGATTTAGACATGATTTAAATAAATATAAACTGATTTTAATTGTTTGATCATTCAATTGATTTAAACAACCGTTTGATTTATTTGATTACAATTTACAATTGAATTATTCGTTGAAATCTTGTAATAATTTCAATATTTATTATAAATTGAGACAAAAAGAAGTGATTTATGTATCGATTGAGAGCTATATTCAGGAAATGCGGGCAAAGGTTTGTATAAAACGCTTGTTTGGCATCTAATGTATATCTAACCGGCATTTCCTGTCAAACAAGTGCCCCAATACTGGCGCCCATAGCTGTCATCTCTGGCCACTGTTGGCGCCAACGAAACGGTGGCCAAAACGAGGCAAAGGAGTGGACAAACACACGATTGTGGCCGGAGTTCGCACTAAGAAGAGTCCGATTGATCTCAGAGGTGGCCACGAATTACAACACATGGCAGCAATCGGTCGCATTGTGCGAAACGTGCAATTCCAGCGCATTCTTTGTGGACAACGGCACGTATGCCGTGACCTCAGCGCTGGCCGTTCAGGGCTTGACCAACGTTAACATCTGGCTGTCGCAAGACTTTCCCAAACAAAACCTAAGTCCGACCGCAACGACACCGGATCCCAACATCTCCAGAGTGTTCGGTCAAGTGATATACACCGACCCGTCGCTGGGTCTGGCGCTCATCAAAGTGTTGAACATTAACCCCAATGTAATTCCAACGCTGCCGATGGCAACTAACGCCGAGATACAGGTCGGCGAGCGGGTGATCGTTATGGGTATGCCTACCGGCAAACGGGGTTACGTCGCCGGCACCATAGCCTGCAAGGAGGGGCCTAAAGCGGACACCGGTTATGGTGACAACTATCACAGTCAGTATGTGCTCAATCCGGAGACGCAGTACATGAGCCATAATATCATTGCTGTGAACCAATATAACGGCGGCCCAGTGGTCAACATGAATGGCAAATTGGTGGGCGCTATGCTGTCGGGTGTGCACCACCACCAGCACATCATTTCCGTCGATAAAGTCAAAGGTAATATACAGGGGTTGGGCGACGGGTATAGAGGGGGAGACACTACGGGTGTTTGGTTTGAATACAAGTGTTTAATATTGACTATTGTTTAACAGAGTTTATAGCCGCGGGTCTGGCGTACGAACCGACTGAACGCCGAAATCGGTACTCATTTGTGGGTAAGAGAGGTCTGGGAGTGGTGTTGAGCTGCGATCACGATGGCTTTCATTTCGAGAAGTGTATTCACAACAGTCCCAACGCTAAGTATGCAATTGATTGCTATTTTATATCGCGTTTCAAATGCTTTTTGTATTGTTTTAAAAACTTATTTCTAATGAATTTGTGTTTTAATGGATTGAAAACAGTGTTGGATTTCAAGCGGGCGACCGAATAACACACATCAATAGCGTTGAATTCAATAAGTTATCCCAATTGACTGATGCCATCAGTGGCCTCACCGGTGATGTGCTTCCCCTCCTTGTGGATCGTGGTCAACAGTCGGTGCCCATCAACTGTCACGTCTATGCCTTCAATTGCTCTGTGTTTTAATTATATTCAGTCAACAATTGTCTCATTAGTTATTTTATTGTTATTTTTTGCTCTATTTTTTAGTTAAATTTGTTTTGAATTTAAGTTTCATTTTTATTTCGATATTTTATGACTAGTTTTAAACCAAATTTTCTGTTCATTTCATTGTATTTCTCTGTCATTCAAACAATTCATTTGATATACAAATAAAAACAATTATTATTACATGAGATTTACATTCATTTTAATTATTGTATTTATTGATTGATTTAAATGTTCGTTACATTAATTCAATTATAGATTTAAACACAAATCTATTGAATAAATAAAAAATAACTTAATTTATAAACAAATAAAATAATAAAATATGTATTTATTTAGAGTTTTAATTAAGAAATACAGCAAAAAGTATTCACTTTTTATTAAACAAATGTTTGATCGCAAAATAAAAATCTATTTTTAAAACAAAAATTAGTTTCCCATTACTTATGTCGGCATTGGTTCCGACCATAATTGGCGGTAATTATCTGTATCAACACATCAAACACAACGACAACAACAATACCATAAAAAGTCATCCAAAGTTGCGGACAAACACACCATTCAAACCATTGCCAACAACTCTAAGAAGAGCTCATTTGTTGGACACGGCTTTGGCGGCGAAGATGAGAGAGATATACGACAAGTCAATGGAGTCTATTGTGACGTTAATTGCGGGCCAATTGATGGGCACCGGGTTTGTTGTGGACGACACGGGACTTATTGTGACCAACTGTCATGTGTTGGCCGACAGTCAAACCGTTTTGGTTAAGCTATCGTTTCCGACGCCACTCTTCGAGCTCTTCGACAACCAAAGCGCCGACGATTTGGTCGACACACTCGGCGGACAAGTGGTGTACTGCGAGCCTGAGCTCGATTTGGCGCTCGTCCGGGTGTTTGTCTCACACGAAGCCCTACCGGCCCTTACGTTGTCGACTCGCGACCCGTCGGCCGGCGAACCAATGCTGGCCGTTGGGAACCCGGGTTTGGCCGGCAGTACGGTTGTGGGCCTTGTGTTGGGCACCGATAGGCCCGACGTCTTTACCGGTATGTCGTGTTTTCATCAACTAATGAACTCCTATAATATAGATCGGCCACAACTGCAACACTCGGCGTACACTTCGCCGGACTCTTCAACGGCGGGACCGCCGCTCTGTCCAGTCATGTGACCGGTATGTGTGATATTGGTTGAAGTCATGTATGGAAAGGGTGTTTATCATGTGTTTAAATAATTTAAGTTTATTTTTTAGATCTCATAACTAATGGCAAAGAGTTTGAACGAAAAGAGGAGATAAAGCAGTACTCGATGTCCGGCAAGAGATCGTTGGGAGTAGTCGTAGAGCAGAGGCCGGGAGTTCAGCGGTAGGGGTCTTAAGACTCCCGGTTTGACCGTAAATAGCCTGACGAGTGCCAACTCGACGCCCGGATCCACGTATACGACCCGACCGTAAATGGTTTGTATCTCATCGGCGGTCATATCTCTGGACAACAATTTGGATCTAATGTATGGTTTGGCAAAAGTCACGCCAACGTGTGTCAGATCGCACACCACCTGAGCGCTGGTCAATACGTATCCCTTGTCGTCAACAATAAGTCCGGCGCCTAATGTGTGACCACTTGTCGTGTTTTCTGTGATCTTTACCACTGATTCCCAGCATTTCTGTTGAATGTCTTTCACTTTCAACCCGTTATTCAAGTGAACGCTTCTTAGAGTCAAATGTGGTTTCAATTGAATGTTTGGCCAAAATTTGTGTCCATTTTTGTCGTTGTATTCAAAGAAACAATTGAATGCAATCATAGGAATCGGTACCAGAATTAGACCCCTATTTAAGTGTAATTACATTAAATTTAATGATATTTGAATTGAAATACTTGTTAAATTTATTTTTTAAAATTAGTAACAATTGTTATATAAAGTCTTAATTCAAGTAAATAACGATATTATAAATATATTTATTGCCAAACCTATAAATTTGATGTCAATTCCGCCCTCAGACATGAGGATCAGCTGATTGTTGATCCGTTTAGGGGCCACTTCTGTCGGCCAAATATATAACGTAGCGACGCTATTGTCGTCAACTGAGATCATTAAACGGATCAATTCATGTTATTTAATAAACACAATTGGATGGCTGTTCACATTACGTCCGACTCGAGTGATTTTGATGCCAGTGTTTTTCCCAATTGTGTCCACCGATTGGTATTGTGTGACAAACTCCCCGAACCGAACACATGGGGTGTGAGTACAGCGGCGCCGCTATTTACCGACACGCGGTTTGACCGCATTCTCAGCCCGCGCTTTAGCCAAAGCTGTCCTCAATGTTTCGATGCAATCGTGAGGTTCGCTCTCTCCAGACATGTTGAACACTTGTTCCGATCGCAGACCCTCTCGTGTTCAGACATACCGCTGGCGGCACACGTGTGGCCACAACCGAGTGACTCAACCCGGCATTTAATGATCTGCTCGTTAATCGAATTATGCATATCTCGATTGCGTCCGACGATTACTCCTCAAACATGTGCAAAATGTGTGAATAAAATGTGGCCAAATCTCGGGGCCGCGTATAATGGTATACCTCTCGCAAGTCGTACGCAATTCATTGTCTGCACGAAACGGTCACTTCGGACAACACTGTTGAACGGGCGACGAAACCCAGGACAGTGCGGCACAAGTGGTGGTGCGGCCGCCGCTATGGCATAGTTGAGGCAAACCCGGCAATACAGTCCGAGAAAGAGCTATAACATTTACTATATTTAGCTCACAATTAATAAATTGTGATGTTTAATTTTGAAATCATCTTATTTTAGAGTATAATTAGTCTAAATATACAAAATAAATTATAAATTTTTGTAAAACTTCCACAGAATTAACTTTAATTCAATATAATTAAGAAATGGGCAGGAAATATTTATAACAACTACTCGGTTATCGGGTAATTTGCGGCCAAAGAATTTACCGATTTATATCAAATTTTCGAGAATTTGCTTGTTACATATATTTAAATAGTTTCTAATTACCGATTCCTCTTAAATAACTCTCATTGAAAAGCATTATGAAAAATACGGCGGTTCGGTAATGTTGTGTCAGGTCTTGGTACGTAATTTACCACCATTCCCTTCTATGGCAAATCATTTAGTTATATCATAGGACTATATTACATTTAATTTTTATGTAATATAGCCTACTGGCCAGTACTGGAAGCCCAATTACCCGACCGCTCCATTCGGGTTACGGTTTAATATGGCCTTCGGGTCGGTTTATGAAGGTTATAATTAATTAAATTCAATATATTCTTAATTATTAGTATAAGATACAGGGGAGATATACATATAAACACATACACTGGGGGAGAGGAATACGATATGGTACAGGAGTTTGTGAGCAAAATTATATCATTCGTCAATATTAATAGTCAT